GGACATGTACAGTGAAAGGCAATCCTGCCTTAAATATAAACCTCAAGTCCTATCTCCGGAGGTCTCCCCCCAGTCACCCAGTTTGTACTGATCTCTGACTCCTGACTGTCGGAGTCATTAGAATCTGGAATTGCAAACCCCCAAGTAAGTAATATCTTTTCCTGCTTCATCTGGTTCTTTCCCTTCTGAGGAGTCGCCTAGTGACATGTTACTGTTGACCATCTGCCCGGACAGATTTGTAGCATTTGAGGGCAGGGTCCTTCCTAGTGAAAGTGACTCGACTGAAAGCCAGGTTTGGTATCTGGAGAGTTTTATTCACTATTAAACTTCCTAGAAAACTCCCGCAGAGAAGTGTTCATTTGTATTGCTCCCCATGAGTTTTTGTTGTCTCTTTTCAAAACTTAGATTGCTGCAGTTAATACTTGCCAAAATGTATGTTAAGCAAATCAGAATGTTAGGGGTTTGTTTCTAACAAGTTTATTGGGGAGGGAAGGTATTTTATCCTGAGCTGCATATTAAGAGCCAGTGAATATTCAGCAAAAAGCGTGACTGTGGTTAGTTTTAGACCCCTCGAGGTGGGCAGGGAAGGGAGGGGGCACCCACCTCACTCCTCCATGTCAGGGTCTCTAACCAGTCCTGAAGTTCCGGGTTCCCTTTGGGCCTTCGGCTGAAAGACTGGATGAAAGACACGGGCTTTGGGCCTGGGTCTTCACAAGTCGAGGGAGGAGGCAAAGTGAGGTGCTGAGCCTTGGGGGTTTCCAAGCCTGGAAACCAACTTCTCACAAGCTCCTCCTCTCAGGGAACCACAGGCTACCATCCGGTGTCCAGTTCCACTGCCAAGGGGCCTCTCATGCAGGGACAGCACGCACCTCCTGCCACCCCCCACCCCAGTTACCTTGAAGCCCTGAATGTCCTCCAGCTACTGCTCCATCTTCACTCTGCAGCCAAGTGGGGCCTTTTAAAAGGTCCCGTGCCTCTCCAGCGGCCTGAAGAGCTGCTGCTGTTGTCTTAGAGTGCCTGAGGAAAAGGCTTCGGGCAGCCTGGCCCTCGTGTTTTTGAGAGGCTTGTCTTTTCTTTGAATCGTGCCTGCTCCGTGTTCACACAGCTCCGAGTGAGGGTCCTTCTCACCTCCCTACCACTTCCCAGGAGTTGGAGGCCTCTTCTGAACGTGGGCAGACAAAACTCTCAACAGCGTGTTAAGCAAACTTTGGGAAAACTTTTTTTTCTTTTTTTACAAATTTTAAATTAAAAAAAATTTTTAATGTTACTGTTCTAAATAAGAATGTGGGTTAGATTTTTTACCATGTCATTTTTCACTCCTTTTTGTAAAAATGTAGATAGAGTTCAGATTACAAATCAGGATTGTGTGCATTTTGCAATCTTACTGGGTGTGTAGAGCAGTTTGCCTCATAAAACAAAATAGAAAAATGAAGGCAAACCTGCTTTGAGAGATACTGTATCACGGGTCCTTATTTACACATTTGAGAAGCATCCAAGATTCAATTCGTCTGCCTGTTCCTGCTCACGGATTTGGCTTAGCTGGGTCCTCCTCCTTCCCCTTCCAGACAGCATTACAGATGTCTTATCAGGCTTTCCCTAAATCATTTGGATCCATATCATATCACAGAGCTGTGACCAGCTTTGTTGTTGTTGTTTAGTCGCTAAATCATGTCTGATTCTTTGTGACCCCATGGACTGCAGCACACCAGGCTTCCCTGTCCTTCACCATCTCCTGGAGTTTGCTCAAACTCGTGTCTGTTGAGTCGATAATGACCAGCTAGATCATTCTAATTGGAAATCAGGTGCTTCTCACATTGAAATCTCTCTGAAAAGTATCTCCATAGACCTCCCTCAGCCACGAGAATTTGGCTAACCATGCCTGTAGTACCACGTGCTTTTTAAATAGTTAAGTTCTATGTGCTTGGTGATTATTTCTAGAGAAATGTGAGTTATTGAAAAAGTCCTATTGTTTTTTTCCTGGTAACAAGTCTTTAAAAGACAGTTCTGTGTGAATGACTAAAAGAAAGGAAACGTCTGTGTTGTCTTTCCTGAGTGTTACTTCTCCTTCAGGGAGCCAGTAAACATTTAAAGTAGCCATGAGCTTACATACTCGTTTTGAGGCATGTGTTTGGTTTACATTTTGGGACAGTGCTTCTCAAACTTTCTGTGATGAAAGACCATCTTGTTTGTGTTTTTCCTCCTTTATGGACTAATATTTTAGTAAAACTTGACAAAAAGAATACTGGAAAAATGAAATGAGTTACAAGGATGTAAAAATATAAGCCTCATTTTTAAAAGTTTTATTTGCAAAACATAATTACTCTGTAAATCTGCCATAAAAATTTCTAAGCAATATAGAATCTCTACTTACCTCATTGTGAACCAGTAACAGTTTGTAGACTGGTTCCATCTATGGATAACACTTTGAAAAACACTGTTTTAAGAGAGAGAGAGAGTGTGTGTGTGTGTGCGCACGCACACATGCACTTGTGTACTCTCACACACATTTGGGTGTATTGGGTACATTCAAATTATAGTGTATGACATAGGTTATATAACTGCCTTATATGATAGTTAAATGCATTTGGTGAGCTCTTTGGTAAAAGCGGGGCTTTCCTGATAGCTCAGTTGGTAAAGAATCCACCTGCAATGGCAGGAGACCCTGGTTTGATTCCTGGGTCAGGAAGATCTGCTGGAAAGGGATAGGCTGCCCACTCCAGTATTCTTGGGCTTCCCTTGTGGCTCAACTGGTAAAGAATCCACCTGCAAAGCAGGAGACCTGGGTTCGATCCCTGGGTTGAGAAGATGCCCTGGAGAAGGGAAAGGCTACCCACTCTAGTATTCTGGCCTAGAGAATTACATGGACTGTATAGTCCATGGGGTCACAAAGAGTTGGACACAACTGAGCAACCTTCACTTTCACTTTTTTCCCCTTTGGTAAAAGTGGAGTTTTTCTGGACATGGCATTAAATGCTTAAATTGTAAGCAAATACAAATGGTATATACATGAATACAGTTATCTGTTTCAAAATACAGTTGTCTGGGAGTACTTCTGATGGATAAAGTAGAAAGTGTTTTGTATTGTGAAATGAAGTCACCTCCTCTGATTCACACTCAGGTTTAAATGGGCACAGATAGATACTTTAGATAGGAGATGGCCTATGCAAAGTGTGTATACAAATGAGACAGCACTGAGCAGTAGGAAATGTTGCTGTCATGTGAAGCATTAGATAAGCCCTTTGTTACTGTCACACCTTCTTTGCCTCAGAGAACAGTTAATTATGGGACTGGTCTTTGGTCCTAGTGATTGACAGCCATTTTCTTAATGTTTACGAAGTGGGGGGAAGTGTTTCCTATAAGTAACTCCACATTCTTTATGAGCGTTAAAACATTCGCAGGCCGATTCTGACTTGATGGATTGCAGTTGTCTTCATCCTCTGCTGGAGACTGAGGCCCATGGAGGCAGCCACCTGGAATGGGACTTGTGTGCCAGGCTCTGTGTCCACCTGAATGTCTAGCCTTCTTCCACAAAGCCATAGAAGGAAGTTTTATTATGGTTAGCCTTATCCCTTTAGGATGAGACTCCTACTTTAAAATGATAATGAGGTGTAGGAGAAGTTGTTCAGCCCCTTGAAGACTAGGCTTTATTCCTGTGTGGGACGACCCACTTTCTGGCAGGGTGCCCAAGACAGCGTAAATGCGGGATGAGTTAAAGGATTGAAGGAGGTCATTCAGAAAAGGCAAGTCGCCTTTAGAAAAAAATGCTGGGTAACTGCAAAGCACTTTCTTGTATGTGACATCATCAAAAAGAGTGAGTGGCCTTGAGGAGAGCATTAACATGCTCCTCTGGGTAAGCATTGTAGAGGGGGAAGGGAGCAAGCCACAGGCCTAGCTTGATTAGAAGCACGTCTCCAGGTCTGAACAACCACACAAGGACAGCTTTCTTGGTTAAATGGTTATAAAGTGGGGTCTGTGAGACACAGACCGGTGGACTTGTGATTGCTTGGTTTAGATGCTAATGTTCTGAGGGGAAGGGCCAGCTGCTCTCCAGAAAGCACAGGCAAATGGGGGTGTCTTCAATCAGGACAGAGTACATGAGGAGGCTGCCATGTCAGGCAAGGTGGGCAGGAGTTAAAATCCATTCCCCAGTGCTCAGGGTCTGAGATAGGAGGCCATTGTCTCTTTGAAATTGCTGCAGGAATCACAGTAGGTATTTTAAGAAATGTATCCAGTACCCAAACAGCAGTACTTATAATCACAGCAAATTTCTTTTAAATTAGTTCAGTTGCACTCAGGTATGACAGCCTATGATGAAACTGAGCCATGGAAAAACTTGGGTTGGGAGATCCTCCACTTGATTCCCAACAGAAAAGCGATGGCAGCTCCATCACTGTGGTCATCTAATACAGCCTAAGCCCTTCACTACATGTTACCAGTCAGAAAGGCTCTGTGCGTGATGGGGAAGAAAGCAGTGTTTTGAAAGCATATGCGGTTCTACCAGAACTGTACAAGTTCCCCTTTTTCCAACTGTGTTCTTTTCATCATTCCAGCTGTGTTCAAGCTGTAACCTATGACACCTTTACCTGTTTAGGTCATAGCATTGTCAGTATTTTCTTGGGTTTTAAAAATAGATCTGTTGGAGGGAGGGAAGTTGAACCTGCTTGGTAACAGGGTAGGTAGACACAGGTACACAAGCGAGAAAGTCAAAATCACGGTTCCCATGGTAATGTTTAACTTGTCTGTGTCGTACACATTTCTCAAGAAATACATTCAACAGACTACCCAGTGATAAAAATTGCTCCACCGCCGCACGAAGGTAGATTTCCCAATGAATTCCTCTGTTGTAACCAGCCCTGGGCAGGGAGCTCATGTCCTGAGTCCAGACCTCTGAAATCGGCATCTTTTTTGAAAACGGGAGCGGGGGGGTGGGGGGGGGGGGTGGGATGGAATTCGTTTCTGTGGGATTGATTCCATCTCCTTCCTTTCTTCTTGGCAGATATATGTTGGGGAAAGGAGGAAAACGGAAGTTTGACGAGCATGAAGATGGGCTGGAAGGCAAAATCGTGTCCCCGTCAGACGGTCCGTCCAAGGTGTCTTACACCTTACAGCGCCAGACTATCTTCAACATTTCCCTTATGAAGCTCTACAACCACAGGCCCCTCACCGAGCCCAGCCTGCAAAAGACCGTGCTCATCAACAACATGTTGCGGCGCATCCAGGAGGAGCTGAAGCAGGAGGGCAGCCTGCGGCCCGCGTTCCCCGCCGCCTCGCCGCCCGCGGCCGCCGCCGCCGCCGACCCGCTGGGCTCCAGCTCCCGGGAGGCGCCGCCCGCCTTCAGCCAGCCCGCTCCCGCGCCCTGCGAGCTGGGCGGCGCCGCGGCCCTGGAGGCCTGCCTCACCCCCGCCTCGCTGCTCGAGGACGACGACCCGGACACGTTTTGCACTTCCTCGCCGGCCGCCCCCGCCAGACTGGCGCCTCCCGCCCTCCTCCCGCCGGAAAAGGACAGCTTCTCCTCCGCCCTGGACGAGATCGAGGAGCTCTGTCCCACATCTACCTCCACGGAGGCCGCGGAGGCCGACGGCCCGAAAGGGGACTCCTCCGGCGGGCCCGGCGCGCCTCAGAGACCCGAGGGGCTGCAGGACGGCGGCCGGCCTGAGGACGCGAAACTGATGGACTCGCTGCCTGGCAACTTTGAGATCACCGCGTCCACGGGCTTCCTCACAGACTTGACCCTGGACGATATCCTGTTCGCCGACATTGACACGTCCATGTACGACTTCGACCCCTGCACGTCCGCGTCGGGGACCGCCTCCAAGATGTCCCCCGTGTCGGCCGACGACCTCCTCAAGACGCTGGCCCCCTACAGCAGCCAGCCCGTCGCCCCGAGCCAGCCTTTCAAGATGGACCTCACGGAGCTGGACCACATCATGGAGGTGCTGGTCGGGTCCTGAGCCCCGGAGCCCCCGCACCTGTCCCCCACCCCCCCGCACCCCGACAGCTCTCCGCACTGTGCATGCACCCTTGCTTGCCTTTTTCTGAGAAGAACATTCTACAAAAGGATCACACTAGTTTTTGCTTTGAGCAGAGTTGGAGTGCCTTCATCCAAGTATGACCACTTTTAATACGCTTTTCTTGAGTGGTTCATCAGAGACCTACTACCCGGAAATAAGAAAGAATACATTTGAAGACGATGTGGCTGTGTTGAATGACAAAAACAGTTCAAGTGAAGCACAAGGAATAAGTTGGGAAAGCTGTAAATTGCATGTGCATATTTGTCTATTTTTTCTATAAGTTTTATTGCAAGAGGTAAAAAAAAAGAATATATATATATATTATTTAGATAATCTCAGTACCTTTTCCGGCATTTTCGCCCTGTATAGGTTGACTTGGCAATTCAGCCTTTTTGGAGGCATTAACTACTCCTCTTAAGTGTTGCATTTACATGGCTGTTTAGAAACTGCTGCCCAAATTTATTTTATATTTTTGTACAGATTCTGCAGTTTATGATATTGTTTTTCTAAAAACAAATGCTGTTTATACATATGAGATAGCTATTTTGATAGGATTTGCTCACATAGTTCCTGCAAACTTCAGATGTACAAGTTGCACTTGTACTTTTATAGAGTTGTAATGTTTTATATGTGTTTGGTGCAAAGAGAAAATTGGATCAAATCAATCCGCAGTTGATGTCCCCAGATGCAAACACACACACATACACACACACAGCGCTTTAAAAAGGGCCAGGAGATATCACACCCAAATTTCATGAGCACTGACCCCCTGGCATGAACACCCGCCAGCACTGTGACTTCCGAAGCCAGAGCCACGTGGCTCATCAAGCTTGCATTAAGCAGTTGGCGGGAGGCAGCCATGGAGCTTCCGGTTTACATGATGGTTCTCTTTCGCTTGCTCTCTGAAGGGGAAGGCTACCAAGTACTCTATTTATGCCAAGTCTGCGCTTTTAATTGTTTTTATTTTTTTTTTAAACAAAACCCCATATCTTTCCCTTTTTGGCATAATTTTTATGAAGACCTGAAATCTTACACGCGAACAGAATTTTATGAAAAGCGACCAACTTCTTCATGGAACTTAGGGCTCACCAAGAAGGAACTCTTCCCCTGGAAGGCATCCATCATGTTGCTCAGTTGTCTTTTCTGGCTTCCCTTCCCTAGGGCTTTCATTCCCTCTGTTGCTAAGTGCTGAAAATGGCATCTTCATGATCACCACAGTGAGCCTGACTCTCCTCGGCCCAGCCTGGGATGCCCTCATGTGACACCCATGGCTCTTGAACCTGGAGTTGGCCCCATTACATCACAGCCTCTGATCTGGTTGCTTTCTTGAATCAACTGCTTTAACTTCACTTTACAAGGCTGTTTTACCCAAATACACAGACATGACTTTCTATGCATGTTCCCCTCTCCCCCTACTTTGCCATCCTCTCTCTGCCAGGAGAACTAGCTTTTTATTCCTAGTGATGTACTTTTAATTTTAAAATGTTTGCGATGTATCATGCTTGTTGCCGAAATTGTTTATGGCCTTTCTGTTTCAGTTTTTTCTTTTCTTCCAATGGTACTTTAGCTGGTTACAACCTATATTGTTGAAACGCAGATGGCTTCTTTAGGAATAACTTTTATATTTATTTAAGAATTTTTAAATTATGGGATTTGTGTTGTCGTTGTCTTTGTTGTTTGGTCATTTGTCAATATTCAGTCACCAATTCTGCTCACTTCTTGCCATGGATAAAATTGAGTCTTTCTGGCCAATTAAAAAAAGACAGCTTTATAAAATGGCACTTTAAACAAGCCATAGATAGTTTTATTTTTATAATGCACATGGCAAAGCAAATACATTTGTGATGAAGGAACTGCTCATCTAAGCAAAAGATTCATGTATGATATGATTAAATCTTTCTACATTCTGATTTACTCCCCCCCACCCCAGCCCCCACCCACCCACCAAAGTGTGTTTTTAAAGGCTAATTATCAACTCGTTCAAGCAGTGAGAAACTGATCAAATTGCACTGTTCTCCTGTGAGCACCCTCCACCAGACACCTCTTACTACTACAGATGTGTCATTCCCTGTAATAGGACCAGGGACCATATAGTTAAGGTGAGGGTTTTTGTAGATGCTTCCAGTGTCACTGTGCCTGTCCATTTGAGGGCTTCCTTTTCCTGTAGAGAACAAGACCGCCCAGACGCCATGCTTCTGCTAGCTGGAGGACCCGGCAAACCCTCCACATGCCGCACACATACACATACGTGTCCGTGCACAATAGTGTTGATTATCCCGGACAATAACAGGATAAGGCAGCTGATTTGCCATTGTTAAAAACTGATTGATAGTAACTTAGAACAACTGTACTTTGGTTGGATTAGCAAATCGTGTGTTTAAACAAGTCCCATATGTTGGGCAGCAGTTCAAATAAGCACTGCGAGATGTTGCCCACACGTGGTTCTCCCCCTCTCCCGCATTGGTAAGGCTGGGCTTCAAGATCAAAACAAAAACCCCCAACAGCAGCGCGAAAGTGCTTTTTATCTCTGGACACCCTTGCCATGAATTCTTGGTATTCAAGGTCTAATGAGGAAGAACATGGGAAGTTAGTGGCCCTTTTTCGAAAGGACAAAACCACCTAGTGTTCCAGTTATCTTTGTGTCTTATTTTGACAAAGCAATGTCCCAACAGGGAAAAACGTGAGCCTGTGTGTGACCTCCGAGTCCCAGCTCAAGCGTGGGACGTGCGTCCACATGCCACCCGGTGGCAGTGCCTTCCCCTCCTGCAGGACACCATGTGGGTTTCAGAGGCAGGCAGGCAGGCAGGCAGCGTGAGGTGCCTTTACGAGAGCGACATACTGGGTGGGGCTGGGAGAGGACAATTATTGACAGTGATGTGCAATGAAGTGACAAGATGAGAGCAGAATAATAAGAGCTTTGAATTTGAAGTGATTTTTTTCATAAGTTATTTATTCCTTTTTTTTTTCTGTGTAAATATATTTATTTTACTGTGGAGCTCTAACAACATCTGGATGGTAACATGTGCAGAATGTAAGTAGGAATGTATTCTCCTGTAGGAATGTCAATCTGTACTAGAAGGGGGTCTGAGCCAGACCCCTGGGTCTTCTCATCGTATGCACAGTCCACATTCATTTTTACTCTCTCCTATAAAATATGGGTCTATTTGAAATATGCAAAAGGTATGGATGAGGAATGTTTTAATACCTCCAAATTTTTAAGAAAATCAAGCATCAAAGGGTTGGTATTTTTAAACTTTTTTTAGTCGCACTTTCTCTCTATGACAGAAGGGGCAACCATACCACTGACACCCTCGTTCACACCAAAGGGTGAGAACTAGCCAAGCCACCTCCACCGGAGGAGTGTCTTTCTCAATTGTGCTGTTTATTGCCATAGCCCCTCAGAGTGTCCCAACTGCCCTGAGATCAACCAAGGAAAATTTCTTAAATAAATAAATTCCAAAGAGCCAAAGTGTCAACTTACGGATCATTTTTAGAGCTTAAATTTATTAACCACCCTTAGTGGTAAATAATGAATTATGAATCTGCAGGGCAGCCTTCTCAGATGACAGATTAAAAAAAAAAACCAACCAGAGAGAGAGACTCTACTTTGTGCAGCGATTGTTATTTTCTATATGAATTGTCTTAATTTAAAAATCTTGCTGTTACAAATTAGACCTTTATACACTTTCTGAAAAGAATTGAAAAGAGCATATTTAACCTTTTCTGGCTGTAAATGGTTAACTTCCTGTAACTGCCAGTGGCAGTGAGGTGTGTGCGTCCTGCTTATGTACAATTGTTTTCAGGGCTTCTGAGAATGAGTCTAAATGGTTCTTGAAAAATTAGCCAGGATCAAGTACTATTGCAGACAAAGCCAACAAAAATTGTGGATGTCTTTTGGGGATAACAAGTTTGGAAGAGAAGTGCGGTCCATACAACCAAGATTTGGAAAAGATGTACATAGCAACATGTTTGGTGCATGGTTTTTGAGGAGGGCTTTTGTCAAAAAGGAGGTGTAACCTTTCCCCCACAGACCTGAGAGCTGTGCCTTTTCTATGCAATATTACAGACATTACATCAGAACCCAGATGGTTGTATTCACATGTAGGTTTGGGCTGTAATCTGAACAATTGGACAGATTAAATGTACATGGAAATGAGCAGTCTTACTTTTGTAGTTTTATATTATACAATAAACAGTTAAAAGATGAGAGAGGTGTGTTTGCAGTTTCCTTCTGCCTGGAGTACAACCATCTCATATGTCACCGTCTGCCCATGTCAGGGAACAGTGCCCCCACCCCCAACCCCCACTGCCTCCGCTGAAGTTGGTGCTATCACCCTGTCCCTCCGTCTCTGTCTCAGAAGCACTTTTCTCTGTTGGTTCTCCCCCTGCCTTTGGGTGCTTCTCAAGCCTCCTTCTCCAGCTCTTTCTAAACATTGGGTTTCTCCCAGGGTTCAGTTGGTGACCAGCTCTTTGCTGAGCCTCTACTCCGCTTGTTTTCCAAGGGTTCCTAATCCATCCAGGACTCTGAAAACTTATTTCTAGCTCCTACTTCTCTCCCAGCTTCCCTGGTCGCTCAAACAGTAAAGAATCTGCCTGCAATGCAGGAGACCCGAGTTCCATCCCTTGGTCGGTAAAGTCCCCGAAAAAGGGAATGGCTATCTACTCCAGTATTCTTGCCTGGAGAATTCCATGCACAGGGGAGCCTGATGGGCTACAGTCCATGGGATCGCAAAAGAATCAGACAGGACTGAGTGACTAACACTTTCACTTTTTCACCTCTCTCCCAAGCTCTGGACTTCAGCCAAGCTTTGCCATCTCATACTCAAGTGAATATAAAACAGCCTCATTTCCCCCACAGGGTTGGTCCTTCCTCTTTGGGCCTCTCTTTGGCCTCATCACCCTTCTCCCAGTTGTATTCTATCAGCTTCCTTTCCCAACCT